CTTTTTCTTTTTCTTCCTGTGTATGCCGTGCACTTATGATTTTGCTGTTTGTTGTGCAATGCAGAACCATCTGTTACACTAGCGGCACCAATGGTCATGTGTCTTTTTGACAGGATCGTGCAACTTGGCACCGCGGCTGTGTGAGACTGCGCGGGTGGTGGGAGGGCGGTGACATCACCGGGCTGACTGCGTCTGCGCTTCTTTTTGTCGCTGGTTGTGCTTTGGTGGGAATGTCTGAGGTTGGATGCTTCTTTGTGCCACTGTGTTACTGTTGTTTCTGCCTTCTTCCCCTCTGACCGTGCAGTTAGAGATACTTTGGCTTGATCAGCACAACTATCGTTTCAAGGTATTAGTTATTGCTCGCGGCAGTATTAGGACAAGTAGTAGTGGTATAGCGATCTATCGGATTTGTGCTTTTGGATTCTCCATCCATAGGAAGGGATTTATTAGAAAGGTGCTACGGTCGACGGTGCGAGTGTGACACACCACGACAGCCCTGTTGGTACCTGTTTGGGTCTGTGGATGTGGTGTGCGGTGGGTGCGTGTCCGCGCAGCCGGCACCGTGTGCGGTGCAGGGCCATTGCGGCTGTGCGTGTGGCGCTGCTCGTGGTGTTGTCGCTGGTTGCGGCGGCGGCATGGATGCCCGCGGTGCATGCGGTGGTGTTGCGACTGCGGGGCGGCACGGTGGACAGAGCCATCACGGTGGGCCGCGCCGTGGACACGGTGCTGATGGACGGCGTGTACATCACGAACGGCGTGGCTGTGGTGTTCGACGTTGCGGCGATGCTTCCCGGCGCGCTGCGCATCGAACTGAGGAACTGCGTGTGCGACGGCGGTGCGCAGATATACGTGCGGGGCTACAGCGGTGAGCCGGCGAGTGACCGGAGCCTGGAGGTGAGCGTGAGCGGGCTGTCCGGGAGCTACTGCTCGCTCGTGTTTGTGCACAACCTGCCGGCACGCACGAACGTGACGGTCCGTGACTCGACGATTGTGACGGCGGGGCCGATGCGCTACTCCCAGCTGAGCGGGCTGACGGACGCGGTGGCGTCGCCGCTTGTGCTGCACGCGACGTCGCTGTTGCAGTCGCAGCTGCGTGTGAGCAACACTGTGCTGAGGTCGTCGCGGGCGGGCGGGTCGGTGGTGTACTTTGGCGGCGACGTGGACCTGCTGTCGAGCGCGGTGGTGCTTGACGGCGTGTCACTGGAGGCGTCGGGCGGTCCGACCGCGTCCGCGATGCATGTGGCGTCTTCGTCGCGTCTCAGTCTGCAGAGCCACTCGGTGTTCTCCGTGACGAGTGTGTCGGTTGTGAGCAGCGGCGGCGGCTTTGTGCTTGGAGAGCGCCTCGCGGTGTTTGATTCGGTGCTGCGCTTCGTGCGCGTCGAGGGGTCTGTCGCGTCGTCGCTGGTGCGCTGCGACGGTGGGACGATCGGTGGCGGCGGGTGGCTGGAGCTGCACGACGTGTGGGCGGTGGGCGAGGCGTCGTCGGTGGCGTCGCTGTCGGGTGTGACGCTGAGCGGCGGCGCCGTGTCGATTGTGCGCTGCGCTGCCACTGGCGCGACGCTTGTCTCCGGGCTGGCGATCACGAGCGGCGTCGTGTCGGTGCAGTGCAACCGTGCCGGCGGCCGCGTGTTGCGGAGCAGCGGCGACTACCGCATGGCCGGCCTGCCCTCCGTGAGCGTGGTGCCGTGCGACGGCTGTGCGGCCGCGCTGGCGTGCTTCGATGCGCTGACGGCGTCGTTCTCCGACTGCGTGTGCAGCTGCCGCGCCGGCGGTGTGGGCGAGGCGTGCCTGCCGTTCGACGTGCCGCCTGCGAGGACCGGCGGCGGTGGCGATACTGCGCAGGACTGCGTGAGTGGCGTGACGCTGACGGAGTCCGTGACGGTTGGCGGCGGGCGTGCGACGGCATGCTTCGACTCGGTGGTGTTCAGCGGGCCGATCACTGTGGCGGTGGACCTGCGCTTGATGGATGCGTTCGCTGACGCACTGAACGTGACGCTGCGCCACTGCGTGCTTGCGGGCGGCGCGCTGCTGCGGATTGGTGGCCTCAGCGAGATCACGGCGCACCTGGTTCCGCACGCCCTCGTCAACATGACGAACGTGACGTCGCTGGAGGGCACGATTGTGCTGCATGGCGCGATGCCGCCGCACTCGACTGTGCTGCTGGCGAACTCAACGCTGCGCGCGACGGTTGGGGGGTCGCAGTACGTGCCGACGACCCCTGGCCACGCGGGATCCCGGTACGGCCCCGCGCTTGTTCTGGACGGCGTCCGGCTTCTGTCGACGCGGTTTGTCATGACGCGGTCGATGCTGGTGTGCGGCGGAGAATCGTGCGCTGCGATCCTCGTGGAGCGCGGCCTCGTCGCGAACCTGACCAGCGTCTTCTACATGGACAACTGCGTCGTTATGTCGCGGACGCACGTGATGTACGCTCTTGCGTCGGACCTGCGTGTTGTTAGCGGCTCCGTGTTCTCCATACAGAACAGCTCGTGGATTTTACCGAGCACCGAATACTACAGGGGAGCGTGTATGTTTGGGGACATTGTGGTGGCTGGCGGTAGCGTGATGCAGGTTGTGTCCAGCAATTTCCGTCTTGGCTTCGCCATGCTCATGGCAAACACGTTGACCGTGGCTGGCGGCAGCTGGCTGGTGCACCGCGACAACGAGTTCCACACGGCCTACGTTGTGTACGTGGCCAAGGAGAACGGTGTGGCGTTCCGCGGTCGGAGTGTGTGGTCGATACTTGACAACAACTTCACGTACGGCTCGTACTCGTCGACCACTGCGTGCATGACAAGTTTTTGGTCACCACCATCCGACACGCGCCCGACCATCTACGGCATGTGCAACGAGGCAAGGGGCTCACCTGTGACGGATTACCAAGAAGAGCTTAATATTGGGACGCCCGTGACGGTGCTGGACTGTGGTGCGTGCACGGTGGACGCCGTGTGCTTTGCAGCGAGGACGAGCAGCATCAGCGGCTGTGAATGCGTGTGCGCTGCTGGCGGCTACGGTGACACGTGCCTGCCAGCTGCGGCTCCGGACGGCCTTGGACCGCTTCCGCTCCCCGACGCGAGGGACACGGAGGTCCGCTGCGTGCACGGTGGCAGCATCGGCTCCGTGTACGATCCTGATCCCGGTGTGCGTGGTCTGTGCTTTGTCAACGTGACCTTCACCGCCCCGATGTTGCTGGACCTGTCGTATTTTGACGCGCCACAGCATACACTCAACATCACGCTGCTGCAGTGCGTCCTAATGGGCCTGTTGATCAGGGGGAGTGGTGCGCGCGTGCACGTGAGCGTGACATCCTCGATGCTGGATTTTGGTGCATTGGAGTTTACAGGTGATTTTGGCGTGAGCTCCCAGATACTGGTGGTGGGCAGTACGCTTGTGGCGACAGCGGGCCAC